TATGAACTCATGGATTTAAACATATGTAATATGTTTTGATTCATTGCAGTTGCTGTTCTTCCTGATGCTCAAATTGGCTGATAGTTGGCCACTGAGAGCCTTTTCAAGTTGGCTTTTGTGTCATTTTGCCATGGCCTCAGTAGTAGCTTTTTTTTGCTTTTTGGTATAACAAGATATTCTAGGTTCATGTTAAACATTTTCAATCCCAAATGTAGAATTTATCATTTCTCCAATAAACCCTGGTTTCTTTCAGTAGGAAATGGCATTTCAAAACCATAATCTGTGCACTGGGAAGGCTCTCTTTATTGGATAGGTCATTATTGCTAGGCCTTTTCAGTGGACAGAGCTAGGGAATATACATATTTTAAAGATAAACTATATTAAGAACTCATAAAAAATACCACTGATTCAAATTCAGGGCTAAAAAGTTTTTATTTAACCTTTTCAGTCTTATGTCTGTATCTTCATTTTTCTCCCCATATTGACAATTCTAGTTCTTAAGTAAGTACTTTGCTTTTTATCATCAGAATATCACATATTTAATTTGCTTCATCCCACATTACACATGTTTTCAGAGTAGCAATGCTAATATGACCACCAATAGTATAGATCACTGAAAACAGTTAAAATTTTGTTGAGTATACTCTTGTTTCTTTCTGTTTATTTCATAGTTGTAATGCATCTGCATTGTTAGAGCTTGTAACTGTTATATACTATACCTTCTTATAGCCTTCATCGAGTTTTAGTTCCCCAAGCAAATATATGTTAAATTCTCCTCACCAATTCTTATTTTAGTGTGTCTCTAGTTATTTTGATTGTCTGAAATTCATTCTCTGGTACAGTCGTTCTTAAACCTTTGTGTGTATCAGAATTACCTGCTGGGCCTTACTCCCAGATTGTGACTCAGTACCTGTGGGCTGGGGCCTGAGAATTTGCATCTCTAACAAGTTCCCAGGTAGTGGCGATGCTGTTGGTCTGGTGACCATACTTTGATTACCATTGTCTGTGGTCTTTATACGTGGAAGGTATGGTGGCTACATATAAAACTCTTGGCTTACGGTTTTGCTTTTTCTAGTATATTAAATATGTTATCTGTTGCCTTCTAGCATAAAACATTGCTGTTAAAGTTTGGCGATCCTCTGTCTTTCTTTCTGCCTTACATAAAAGAGTGATTATTTCTTGGGGTGGTCTTTCTGGATTGATTTCCCCAGGTATATTATGTGCTCTTTTATATACATGTTTTTGATCTTCTTTGCCTACCTTCTGTATTTATTACTTTCTTCCAATCTTCTAAATCTTTTTTCATTTCTTTTTGACTTCGAGAAATTTTCCCCTTTTCATTTTCTACTTATCTATAGTATTAATTCAGTTTTGTGTTCCTTCTAGTCTGTCCTTCATCATCAGGCAGTTTATCTCTAATTTTCTGAGTTGTACCAGTTCATTTCTGAGATTTTTCTAAATTTAGTTAATGATTTTTTTTTTTTAGCTTGTCTTAATTTTAAATGAGTTTTCATGTTTTCTGGATGTATCATCTGATATGCCTCTATTGTCTGTAGAGTTGTTACTGTGCTTACTCTCCTTTTTCTTATCATAACTTTTTACAGGATTTGACCTTGATCCTTTTCTGTTACTCATTTTTATGTGAAATTAGTTTTCCTGAACTTTCAAAAGAGGTATGGGTTCAGTATAGCTTTTCTAATTTCATGATTCCAGTGGCTTTTTTTTAAACATAAAGTATTATCATAAACAGTTCTCTTTAGGTGTATGGTTTGAATTATGATTTTATACAGTTGTATAAATACCACTACCACACTCAAAGTATGGAACAATACCTTTACCAAAATAAAATTCCTCATGTCCCTTTGTATTAATAATTTATCACCTCCCTTCACATTTGGCCCCAGGCAATTAATGATTTTCCATGAATATAGTTTTGCCTTTTTAAGAATTTCATATATGTGGAATCTTACAGTATATAGTTTTTTTGACTCGATTTCTTTCACTTAGCATAATGTTTTTGAGTTTCATCCATTTTGCTGTACATTGTCAAGTATTTGAAAACATGGCAGCTCACTTTTCTCCTAGCTTTGTTTTGTAGTACTTCTATCTTTTTTATTTTGACTCTGTTATCCCTTTTCTACTCATTTTGGATTCTGTTGATGGGAGTTTCTCCTCAGTGTAAGCTTTGTCCTGAGAGAGTTCTTTGCACAGTTTTGTGAGTTCATAGGGCCTAGACTTCTAAAGCCCCTTCAGACCTTACTCTGAACTTCTTGTACTCACTATTAATCAAGTGTACAACCCTCACCTCCAGTTTCAGCTACTCACAATGTCTTACCACACTTTTCTAGTGTGTATCTGATTGCTTTTTTGTGGTATTCCTGTTTTGTTTTCTTTCCCTTTTAAAATAGGTATCTTGCCCAGGGTGGAATATAGTGGTGTGATCATAGCTCACTATAACCTCGAACTCCTGGACTCAAGCAATCCTCCCACCTCAGTTTCCTGTATAGCTAGGACTACAGGTGTGCACAACCACACCTGGCTAATTTGTTTATTTTTTGTAGATATGGTATCACACTATATTGCCTAGGCTGGCCTTGAACTCCTGGTCTCAAGTAATCTTTTTGCTGTGGCCTCCCAAAGAGCTGGGATTATGGCATGAGCCACTGTGCCTGGCCTCTGTTTTCTGATTGTTAAGTGTTCTTTGGCTTCTATCTGCTTCTTCCTATGTGGATACTACTAGCATGTGTATTTTACTGTTGTCTGTTGTTTGTCCAACCTGCTTGCATTTTGAAGTTCTTGGGGATATTTTGAGATGCAGCCATATTTTAGTATTTTTTATTTGTGGACTTCGGTTTGGCTATTCAATTCAGTTTTATGGAAGTATCTGGGGAGACTGAACTATGTTGTTTGGATAGAACAACCAACTATTTTTATAAAATCTTAAAAACAGCAAAAAATGATAAATACTTGTTGATAATACTTTATCATTATAAAATGATAACATTTCTACTTATTTATAAGATGGAGGAGGAAGGGAGGGAGGATGTTCCTTTTGTGATGAGGCATAGCCATTTGTGTGTCTTTCTGTATTTTTTGTATCTTTTGTGTATGTCTACCACGTTATTGTCTGTTGTCTTAGATTGTAAACTAAGAGTGGGAACCTGGCTGATGTGGCATATGCCCATGAAAATTTGTTTCTGGTAACTTTTTTTGGTAAAGTAGAAATAAATATAAATAAGCTTTAGATTTTTCAGTCATAAATCTTTCAGATTTTTAACCTAGTTGTTAAACAGAATAGGTAATGAAGTTTTCCTATTGTTTATTTATTATAAGGTATTGTAGTTGAACTTTCAAACCAGATCATAGAATCTCTTTGTTCAGTAAGGGATGTCATGAAAATAGAAAGAGTTTGCTTTAGTTTGGTGCTGAGGATTATTTGAAGTCTGTCTTCAATTTTTTAGAGAGCCAAGGAAGGGGTCTGCATAGAGAGTCAAAGAAAAAAGCTTGGAAACTTTCTAGATCATCTTAACTCAGATGTTCATAGTGTAGCTCTATTTTTTACAGACACTTTATATTCCTAAATCATACCATATCAATATATAAGATAAGCTTCCAAAGCAAGTACTCTGTCAATACTCTTTCCTATCATCTATTAATTACTATTATATCACCATTATTTTATTTGGGTAGGTCAGTGGTTATTTAGTGTGCATAAGAATCCCTTGATGCTGGGCCCCACCCAAGAGAGAAATGTGTACATATCTAAGAGTGAGCACAACCAAAGCTATGTAAAACCTTCAAGGAGAAAATTATAAAACATTTATTATTAGATATAAAAGATGTAAACAGAGAAATTTACCATCTTTAACAATGGGATATTCATTTGTTAAGATATATTTCCTTCCTAATTAATTCATTACACATCTGATCAAATCCCAATAAGTTTCTAGTGAAACCAGACACATGTATATCTGGTGTATATAATGTCATCCCATTTTTATAATGTAGTGACATGTATAAGCATATATAATGCTTGTATGTGGAAGGACTTATTTTAGGCTGTTAACAGGGGAGACAACAGTCATGGGATTGAAGTGGTAAGGAAAGGAGACGTGGAGGAAGTGGGGAGTCAAGAAAATATAGAAAATGGAAAAGAAAATGCACTACCCAGCACGGAGGAGATGCTTTTGTTTATGCACTTAGGCAAATTTTTATGTGTATTTTTAAAAAGACTGTAGAATCACTTTAAAGAGTGAGAGTTAACCTAATTTTCTGTGTTTGACTGGAGACTGTGACAGAAATGGACTTAGCAAAAAGCCCCTCAAAGAATTACTCAATGCTGTGTTCTATTGCTAGAGCATTTAAACAAATAATGTAATTAAATCAAAATGATGCTTTCCAGTTTTTCTCCCTTCATATTTATTAATGTAATTTACTTTAATTTCAAGGAGTTCTTCTTTTTGAATGATACAAAGCACTTGATATATGCTAGGTGATATAAAATATCCATTGATTAAAAAAGTAATATGATATTTTTTTCTCTCCTCTTTTTCAAGGAATAAGTCTTTTTTTTTTTTTTTTTTAGACAGAGTCTCGCTTTGTTGCCCAGGCTAGAGTGAGTGTTGTGCTCAGCCTAGCTCACAGCAACGTCAAACTCCTGGGCTCAAATGATCCTGCTGTCTCAGTCTCCCGAGTAGCTGGGACTACAGGCATGCGCCACCATGCCCGGCTAATTTTTTCTCTATATATTAGTTGGCCAATTAATTTCTTTCTATTTATAGTAGAGACGGGGTCTCGCTCTTGCTCAGGCTGGTTTTGAACTCCTGACCTCGAGCAATCCGCCCGCCTCAGCCTCCCAGAGTGCTAGGATTACAGGCGTAAGCCACCGCGCCAGGCTGAGGAATGAGTCTTTATCTAATTCTTTTTATTTTTCTGGCCAAGACTTAAATACACATAATTAATGGATAATTATCTTTGAAATTTTCCTTGTTTTCTTTCAGTGTACGGGACGACAGAATTCGAGTAGAAAGGATGGACAACATTTATTTTGAATACAGTCATGCTTTCCAGACAGTTATGGAGTTTTATGCGAAAGATATAGTTGACATAAAAGGTAAATATTTTCCCCATATATCCTCAAATTGAAGTGATTCGAGATATCTATAAAGCTATGAGAAGACTTTCAGTTTAATGACAACAACCAATGTAGAAGAAGGGCTCATGATTGGTGGGCTCATCAAAAATGCCACTGCAGCATATTCCTTTTTATGAACTTAATGGTTAACTTAATATTAATATTAACTTAATATTCATTGGAGTGGAAGGAGTACTTGATCAACTTTCCTTTTTGCTTATTTTTAAAGATGGCCCATTAGTATCTTTGTAACTTTTTTTTTCAGCATATTATGAGGGTACAAATGTTAAGGTTACGTATATTGCCCTTGCTCCCCCCACCCTTACCTCTATTTTTGTAACTTTAGAATGTTTGGACAAATATTCTGATGAAGCCTAGCATTTTGAAAAGTTGATTGCTAGAATTAAAATCTCTGAATGTTACTGACAGGGTCTAAATGTGTTAAATAACCATTATTGGTTTAATTGACAAGTGTTAGAAGGTGATGAATGCTATGAAGAAAATAAGGGAGGAATGGGGGTTGAACTTTTAACTAGGGTGGTAAAAGAAGGCCTCACTGAGAAAGTGGCACTTGATCAAAGATTCAAACAGGCACTGAAGGAGTTAAGGGAAAAAGTTATATGGACATGTGAAGGAACAGTATTTCAGGCAGCGACAACAGTAAGCACAAAATATTTTAAAGTAGGAGGGTGCCTGGCATGTTTAAGGAATAGCAAGGAGTCGGTGTGCTGGAACAGTCACTGATGGGGTGAATATTAGGGGGTGAGCTCAGAAATAGGAGATGAAAGGCAGATTGTGTGGGGCCTTACAAATCACTGCAAGGACTTTGGCTTTTTCTCTCAATGAGTTGGGAGATGGTGGAAGATATTCGAGCAGAGTAATCTAATGCTCTGATATACATTTAAAAAAGAATTCCTTTGGCTGCTCTGTTAATAATACCTTATAGGATGCAAGGATGAAGCAGGGAGACAGATGGAAAACTGTTGCAATATTTGTGGTGAGAGATGAGAATGATCAGACAACATTTTTCCCCCTCATGTAGCAATATGTTATGGATAGCTTTCCATATCAGTATGGGTAACTATAAGTCATTCTTTCTAGTAGGTGCATAATAATCTGGATTTACCAAAATTGATGTAACTACTTCCCTATTGATGTTGATTTAGGTTGTCTCTAGTTTTTTTTTAACATTACAAAAGATTTTTCAACTCACCTTTTTGTATACACATCCTTGATGCACATTTTGGAGTATTTCTTGATCAAAAGGGATGAATGTTTTACATTTTGAAAAAATACCCCGTTACTCTCCAAAATAGGTTCATTTCACCCTCAGAAAATGCCTGTTTGTCCAGGCGCTACATATTTGCAATCTTTTACATTTTTCCAAAGGGTAATTCTAAGCAATACTGTCTAAATTATTATTTCAATAACTATAAAATTTGTCTTTTAATGGTAATAGTGTTAATGAGGGTATACATTCTGTTTTTTAGGTTCTCAAAGTATTTGTGGCATCATTAACTTGGCAAAGCCTGTGATTTGCTCTTTGGCATCCATAATAAGATACCTCAAAGAATTTAACCTGGAAAAAACACTCTCCAAACCTGAGTAAGTGACTTCTCAAATAAAAAAGAGAGAAGTTATACTAAAAACACTTCTTGATTTGTAAGTATGATGAATAATTTGATAAATATGATACTTAGAGAAATTTACTTGCTATTGATAGAATACTCTGTTAGGGTGCAAAGATAAACTGCTTGGTATTATTGCTGAAGAATATTAAAAATATTAGGCCAGAAATAGTGGCTTACACCTGTAATCCTGGCACTTTGAGAGATTGAGGTGGGAGGATTGCTTGAGGCCAGGAGTTCAAGACTTGCCTCAGCAACATAGTAAGACCTCATTGCTACAAAAAAATAATTAGCTGGGCATGGTGGCCTGTGCCTGTAGTCCAAGCCACTTGTGAAGTTGAGGTAGGGGGGATCCCTTAAACCTAGATGTTCGAGGTTAGAGTGAGCCATGATTGCACCACTGCATTCCAGCCTGGGCAACAGAGCAAGACCCTGTCTCAAAAAAAGCCCCAAAATATTAATTAAAAATATTAATAGACTCCTTAAGAGTTCTAACAAATTATATTCATGATATAATTTTTGACATATTGTAATTTTGGCTATAAAACTGCGGTTTATACTAACTGGATTCAGAAGTAGTATTAAAAAGCATTCATAAAATTTCACCGCCTTTATTTCTTGCTTTTAGTTCTTATTTCATAGACCATAAAGTTCAAGATACAGGGGCCAGCTGCTGACACAGACAGCTTTTTACAAGAGTGATTAACTTCATAGATTTTGGAAATTTAAAAGCTGACAATTGACATTTTAGGAAAATACTAGTTTAATAATCAGTCAAGTAAAAATAAGTAGTAGCATAATTTTCTAGCCTTTCTATATTCTACTTTCTCTAGCCCCTTGTCTGTGTTTTGTCAAGAATCACCCTCCATTGTATAGATCCTGGATAAGTGAGCTCCTTCCTATTCTGTACAGGTGGGAGGGCAGATAGGAGCTATTACACTAAAAGGCCAGAATATGAATTAACTAGGTAACAAAGAGGTGATGCTACTTTGAGGTTGCTGGAAAGAGTGGAAAAAAGGCAGGTTCTTTGCGATTCTTCTTGTAATGTCTTTGGTGTGTGTTCTCTTATGTGGTATTTAGACTGGAAGAGAACATCATTTTTCTGGAAGCAGTTTTGTCCTGTTTAAAAACAGTCTTGCCTGGGCACAGTGGCTCACGCCTGTTCCTAGCACTCTAGGAGGCCAAGGTAGGAGGATTGCTTGCACGGAGGAGTTTGAGTCCAACCTGAGCAAGAGCGAGGCCCCATCTTTGCTTTGATTTTTTTTTTTTTAATCTGAATGCCCATCAACAATAGAGTGGATTCATTGTGTTATATTAATGCAACGAAATGTTACACAGCAATGATAATGAAGTAGAGGTACATGATCAATATTAAAAATTTCATTAACAGTAAGTATATTGAGCCAAAAATCAGGTTGCTGAGGAACACACCACATATACTATCATATGAAGTTGGAAACATGTGAAATAGTACTATTGATATATACTGTGTAAGAATACATACATATTTGGGGAAGGTGTAAAGACATGCATAGGAATGATAAACAGCAAATTCAGAAGAGTGATTTCTTCCAGTGGGGAAAGAGGGAAAGTGGGGTGAGGGTTAGAATGGAGGGGAATGAGATAGTGGAGCTCTAACTATTGTTTTATTTTTTAACCTGGGTGCTATATTAATCTATACATGTTTTAATGTGCCTAAAATGTTTTATTAAAAAAGATAGCAGGCTGGAAATATACTCCATTGGATTCTACTTTAAGCTTCAAAATGAACTAATTAAAGAGGTCCATCTGTTTGGTTGTGGTTGTGTTACATCCTCATAAAGAAAGGGTGATAAGCTACCTACCATTTGATTTGATCATGACAGGGAGCCTAAGTAAGTGACAGAGTTAGTGATTAACAGCTTGCCCATTAAGACTTATGTTTCTGTCCCTACATCATCAAGCAAAGAAGTGTTCACACTGGAATAAGGAAACTGTTTTAAAAAAAATCAGGCCCAGATGTGTTTAGTGGTAGATGAATTTGAGACTGACACCTAATGACTTGTACTACCTTATGTGTACATACATAGTGCAATATAGGTATTGATTGATTAGTTCCAATTTAATGGTGAGTACATGTGGTGTTTGTTTTTCCATTCTTGTGTTACTTCACTTAGAAGACTAGGCTCCAACTCCATCCAGGATAGTACAAGAGGTATTAGTTTCCTCCCCTTTTTAATGGCTGAGTTAGTACTCCCTGGTATACATATACAACATTGTATTAATACACTCATATATTTATGGGCTCTTGGGTTATTTCCACATCTTTGCAATTGTGAACTGTGCTACTATAAACATTCTACTGCAGATGTCTTTTTGTTTTTTTTTCTTATAGAATATCTTTTTTTCCTTTGGGTAAATACCCAGTAGTAGGATTGTTGGGTTAAATAAATGGTAGTTGTACTTTCAGTTCTTTGAGTTATTTCCATACTGCTTTTCATAGAGATTGTACTAGTTTGTAGTCTCACCAGCCTTGTAGTATAGCTTGAAATTTGGTAAATTGATGCCTCCCAATTTGTTCTTTTTGCTTAAAAACCATTGAATTGCATACTCCAAATGAGTGAATTGTATAATATGTGAATTATATCAATAAAGCTGATATATATACACACACTTACTTTTTTAGATGTCAATGTGCAAAGGTTAAGAAATCTATGTCTATTTTAATCCCATTGCTAAGGCAATACTCTTCTGAGGCCTATACCCACTGCCTGCCTATACCCGCAAAGTTAGTCATGTTTAATTACAAATCAATTAGAAGTGAATCTATAATACTGAAGTTTTATAATATAAAGGAATTGATAATTTATACATAAAATTAACTGCCAAAGTTAGACAAGTGGTGAATTTATGAACTCTGAAAACTGTATACAGAGAACTCTTTTTCAGCTATAGATTTCATGTTACATGATAGATTTTTTTGTCTTCATTTCCATTTTTAAATAATATTTAAATGGTAACTCTTTAATGATTTGATCTTTTAAATAAGGTCTACACCTTTTACTGTCTTTGTCTGAATGAGAAAGATTGGTTTTCATTTTTTAAAAAAGTAGGATAGGAATGATAGTCTTAATTTCCCTGGCAAGCTTTTGGCAAAGACATTTTCCTCCCATTATAGAACTCAAAAGAAGTTCCTTTGTATTTTTGATGTCTGAAATATTAATGAAGTGTTGTTTAGGTTATAAGATTTGTATCCAGGTTCACACAGCATGAATTCTAGCCAGGCATTGTTTATGAATTTCATTTCAAAGCACATAAAATTTGGCTTTTCTTCCACAAGGATAAATAATTTAGAATTGCTTATTTCAGGTCAGTGATCATATACTGCTGGGTACCTGAGGATGCTGGCAGATACAACCTTTAGTTTAAAAATGTATGTAATTCCTAATGGAAACAGGCACTGGCAGAAGGTAATTTCTTTTGTATCTGGAAGGAAGAATCCAATTCCAGAATACTTGTCAATCAAATATAGCATGGTTAGTCCTTCCTATAGTTGCTTGATACTTTTCCATGGGAATCAGTCTGATTTAAGAATGCCCAGTCATTGATCTTTTATTAAAATTAGTGTCAGTTTAAAAAAACTCCTTCTCGTTGCATCTAATTTGAAATTTAGATTACTTGTTCAGTAAGGGCAAAAAGAAAAAAAAAATACCCTACAATCAACCAAACAAAAAAGTGCATATGCAACACATTAATACTGCTAATTAAAAGAACCTATAACTCTTCTCTGTAAAGGTCTGGTGTGTGGTTTTAAGCTAATTTGGTTGTTCAGTTACTGTTTTTGATATTGTAGATATTGGGAGTCTCCAGTAATTATATATAGGTGAGGGCTGTAAGCATCCTCTCTCACCCCCTCTATACTAGTTAGATGTTAGTCCAACAAATTCTGCCACACATATATTTTTTAGCAAACAGGCACAAAAACATCACATGAACTCTAGCTCCATGAAATTCCAACTCTTTGTCTTTTTGGTATTCTTGAGAGCACCTTGTTTCAGTGGTTCACTTGAAGTATATGTGATCATATGGTAGGAGCTGATTGCTATTGGAGTCGGGTAACAGAACCGTTGTAACTGGTTTAACAGGGGATGCTTTCAGAATCTTAAGCCCAAAGCACCATTCCTTAGGGTATGGACTGTTGAGTTTACAGAATTATTATACCCTGTTCATGTGAGGGTAAAAGCAACTGAGCAGCATTTCTGGATAGTGCACACACTTAAATACCACTTACTACTTATTTCACCAGTGAAAAATTATTTCTTACACCTCTGTTGTTGATGAGAGATAAAGGCGTCTAGTTGAGATGCTTTTAGGAAAGGCTTCTGGATTGTGGTTTCTTAATTAATCTTTTTCATGCCAACTATTATAATATGAGTTGTGTCCCTTCTTCCCCTAAAATTTATATGTTGAAACTTAATCACCAATGTAACAATATTAAGAGGTAGGGCCTTTAGGTGGTGATGAAGTCCTCCTGGAGAGCCTTCATGAATGGGATTAGTGCCCTTATAAGAGAGGCCTGAAGGAGCCTGTTTGCCCCTTCCATCACATGAGGACACATAGAAGGTGTTATCTATGAGTCCTCGTGAAACACCAAATTCGCTGGCACCTTGATAGTGGACTTTCCAGCCCCCAGAATTGTGAGCAATAAACTTCTGTTTATAAATTACCTAGTCTAAGATATTTTGTTATAGCAGCTCAAACAGACTAAGACACCAACTAAGCACTCTTCTAAGGGTCTTTCTTAGGGTACTAACGTGTTAACTGATCACAATTAGGATGTGGTTAGTTAAAAAAACAGTCAGGAACAGGGGAAATTAAAGGACTCATATCTAAACACATTGGTAACTGGTTAGATACCAACTCAGAGTCCAGGCCATCAGCCCTTACAACTAGGGTCTTTGACCATAGATTTGTGTGGACGCCTGTCAGCTACACAGCCAATCACTGCCTAATTGTTTCTTCCTGTAAACAATGTTTTATATCTTATAATTATCCCTGGTATTTCACAGGCATTTCTGGGGCCTTATGACACAAAATGAGGATGGGGGAGTAGAGGAAGGGAAGCCAAACTAGCTTCCCATAGGAAGATGGCAGACATTTGTTGAGCATCTACTTTCTGCTGGGCCCTGCAGGTACTACAAGATGAATTAATATATAACCTTTGCCTTCAAGGAACTTAGATCCATTAAGAAGAGTAGAAGCACAACATAAACTGTTGTAATTCAAGGTAAATTAAGTTAACAGATACAGGAGGGAAAGGGCTGCACACACCTGCTGTCAGTCAGTTTTTGGAGAGTTTCCCTCTGAAAATCATTGACAAATTATCCTTTCAATGCTAGATCAAACCTGTCACAGATAAATTACACTGCCAAAGGACTTTGTTCACTTCTTAGGCAGTGTTCCTAATATGAGATATTTCTCTTTTTTAGTGCTTTGGGGGCTTAGTTGGGGGAGTTCTAGAAATAAAGGGGTGTCTTTACTGCTTTTTTGGACTCTGATTTTAGGCTCTCTGGATTCTTAAGTATTTGTTTCCATAAACGACATGGGAAAATGGATTTTACTTAAATCTCTTTACAGCCATGAGAAGTGTGGTTAGGTTTACCATGCAAACACTTAATGCTTTCCTTCCATTAAATAGTTCAGTGACCTGCATTATTTTTCTTGCCTTTAAAAATAAGCCATCAGGAGGACGTTGGTACTTTGAGACAGGAGTCTGCCAACCTCCTCATTTGCTGGCAAATTAGTAAACTCCTCTTTCCTTCTCAAAAAAATAAAAATAAGCCATCAAGTATGTAAGTGCTATTGACAGAAACATCTAAGGCCTCGCTGATAAAGAAAATTGAACTACTGCATTGGTAATGCATTGATTAATACTTGTTAACATGAATTGGAATTGTATATTTGTTAATCATCTTTTATTAGTCACTCAATTCTCAAGTGTATTTGAAATTAAACTTTTAATTTAGTTTTGGATAGTTACAGGAACAAAAGTAGAGTGTGCATTCCTTAACTGAGTTTAAGGAAATAACTTTTGCTACTTTTTCAGTTTTATACTCAATAAATGTTAGTCACCTTAATACATGTTTGTTAATTGTAGGTAGAATAAATAACATTTGTTGCACATGTCATGTTGATTAAAGCTTTAAAATGTTTGTCAAGATGATCTCATGCTCAAGAATAAAGAGGACAGTTTTAAGTATCCTGACATATTTTTCAAGCTAATTGCATAGCTTTTCCTGAAGATACCACCACATGCTCTGCTAATGATAAGACTGTTAAGTTCTAATTCTGGAGGTGTAAAACAAAAACAAAACATTGCTACCATTACTTCCCTTTCCTGTTCTTATTTTTTGGTGTTAGAGTAACTATCCTTCTCTGTTACCAGTCTGTTTAACAGCATCAGCAATAATGGAATACACTATCCCGATGATTTTACATTTTGCTCCTTTTGGTTTGATTTCCTATCAAAATGCTCATTTTTGTCATAATGTTAATGGAATGTTTCTAGTTCCTAAATTAGTTTTTTATTTATGTACTTAACATCTTGGCTAATGATATTTCATTCTTTTAAACAGGAATTTTAAACAGCTATCAAGTGAAATGGAGTTTATGACAATTAATGGAACAACATTAAGGAATCTGGAAATCCTACAGAATCAGGTCAGGCAAACATAAAGGGTAGTTGATTCAAAGTAGTTTTGAAAAAATATTTGGAGTACGATCTATTCTTAGGAGTGCTGGTGAAAATAACAATAATGCCTTCAGCTGACCACCCTGTCTGCCATCTATTTAATTGCTTGATAATTGCAGCACTCACTTTTTGGAGAATGAAATATATAAGATACTACTTTGGGGAGGGGTGTTGGGGGAGCTATTGAGCTTTCCTTTTTACTTATTGAGGGACATGCCCATCCTGATAATTTCTGTATCTTTATTTTCATATCAAGCATTTCTCTGGAAAGGCATCATCTTTGAAAATTAATGTGAAGTGAACTTTTTGTCTGCTTGATTATATTTTTTCTACATACCTTTAACTGTTAGTTGAAATATTTGCAGTCTTATTTCATTATCCAGTGTATAAAACAAGTTACTGGGATATTCAATTAGACTGTAAGATGGATAATATTTCACATCACAAACTTTTATCATTGTTTATTTGCCCTTTATTGATGAATTAAGAAGATAATGAAGACATTATTAAAGTTACTGCTTTACTTACTAAATTATTTGGAAAGATGAGCTGTTATATTGAAAAACTAACGTTAATGATATCATAGAGGTAAAAAGCAGTTCCAACTTATTTAAGTAGAGAACCTGAACCATCTAAGTTGAATAGTTTAAAGTTCTTTAGAAATATTTATTACTGTTGCCAATTAAAGTAAATGCTGAATTTATCCTCCTGACTCCTGGATTTGTATATTATTAACTAGTTTCTCTCACTTAGTTTCTCCCTCTTCCAGTCTATCCTAGTATACTTGAGTCAGACTTAAGTTTGTTCAGTAACAATTTTATCTTGTCATTTTGTCATCCAGAATCTGAGAATCTGTCCCACAGCTTTCTCTCATCAACTTTATATCCATCCCCATGATAGTGAACAAGTAGTAGGAATAAAACAACATTTCTGGGCTGGAGAAAAGCCCATAGTCAGCCCACAGACACAGCCCCAGCATCCTGATCTCCCCTCCTTCTGCCACATCTTCCTTGTTCAAACCCTGGTGCAGTGCAGTCAGTTCTGAAATCAAATTCATAAGGCAAAAATCATCCAGAGTCAAAATACCCTCCCAAATCCCTTCCATTATCAGGGCTTGTAGAAACAGAAGCTGAGAATTACCATCTTCTGCTTGTTTTTATGTCTCAACTTTGGCCTCCCTTTCTGCAGAGCAGTAGAAAGGGTTAGGGGTTGGTGAGAGCAAAGGTATAATAGGACATGTGTCTCTTCTACCTCCCCCTGTCTTGTCTGAGCCTGCTTCTCCAGTGCGGTCAGGTCATTGGAGAATGTCAGGTAATTTCCCTCCACTGTCCTCACCTTGCTCTACTCCAGGCAAGCCAGTTGGCTTTTGTCACAACACAAAGTGCTGTTGCTGTTTTGGCTTGCCTTTCTCAGTTGACTCTGCTTGTCCAGCCCCTCAGCAGAGAAGCCCTCCTGATCTTTGTACCTTCTCTGTGTGCTCTGCAATGAACTCCTGAAGCCTGGGAGCTCATGTTGCACCTTTTCTAGTTGATCCCTGCCAGGTGGCATTGCATCCTAATTACAAGTATTTTTTTCCCCCAAACTTAGGTATAAACGCCCTGGGGAAGGGACCATGTCTTTGCTATGATTAGCACATAGGAGGTGCTCTGTAAGTAGCTACTTACAGAGAAAAAGGAAAAATGGAAATCAAACAAAAAATGTAAATTCAGGCGGAAATAGCAATTTTATGTTTCAAATAAAATTTAATTACCTCAGTAGGCTTTGTAAGACTGTGAATCCTTTGTTAAACTTAACTCATCGCTAGTTAATTGTGAATTTTTTAGGGCTCAACTTTTAAGTGGCAAAGGCAAACTTTTACTAGGGATTTAATAAAACAGACTAAAATAAAACCCTTCCAGGATAAACAGCTAGAGTACAATGCAGGTTTGTGTCTATCTCCAGTACTTTCTACTTGCTCAGTGTTGTCATGAGAGCATTGCTCTGTAAGATGGTAACTCTGAGGCAAGGGAAGGTAATGAGTTACCAAAGGAAAACTAAATTATCTTTGCTATACTTCCCAAGGCAGGAATGTATGCAATTGTATTTTTAAGATACTTAGGACAAACATATATTTCAAAAAAGTCTTCTCAATAATTTATTCTTAGGTAACCAAAACCCACACAGACTATCCCTTTTCTATGTAAAGTATCAGAACTTCATTTTCTTTATGTAGGTCTTCATTCATCAAACATTAAATGAACGCCTGTTATGAGCCATACATTGTGCTAGGCATATATGGCATTTAAAATTGGGGTATATGGGGACTACCTAGAGCTCATGAACAACCAACCATTTGGCCCAATATATTGTCTAACTAATAAAACTCATTTTCTGGTCTTTTTTAGACGGATATGAAAACCAAAGGAAGCTTGCTTTGGGTTTTAGACCACACTAAAACTGCATTTGGAAGACGGAAGTTAAAGAAATGGGTGACCCAGCCACTCCTAAAATTAAGGTAAAAGGAGTTATTTTGTGTGTTTAATCTGAACTTATAAAATTGTGAAATTAAAGGCATGTTAGCCTCCATAGAACCAGGGTTACCAGGGTTACCATGGTTTATAAGAATATAGTTTTAAATTGGGGAACATTTTATTTTGTAACCAGCAATAGACTGCCTAATATCTTGAGGATTTTTTCCTCATTCCTTAGAATGAGCCGGTTTGCAGATCCAGTAGACCTGTTGTCTGGGGAAAGTGAGTTCTCCAGTTAGTTTTGGTCATCAGCATAAGCAAGTAGGGAGGGGGGCGCTGAAGAGACAGGTAGGTTCCCTTTGTGGAAGGCTTTGAAGGCTAATCTGAGGAGGTGATAGTTGGAAGGAGTCATTCAATGATTGTGAGTATGGGGTGATATGATTAGAGCTGGGCTTTTGTGTAGGAGGGGACTAAGTGGAGGTGAAGTTAGCAAGTTCATGGGGAGGGGCTGAGGCAGTAATAGCAAGGAATCCAAAAGATGGATCAGATGTGAAGCATTAGGAAAGTAGAATGAATAAACCTAGGAGTTCCTGAGTCTTGTGCCTAAAACAGTGATTTCCGAGCTTGTCTACGTATTGGAATCATCTGGGAAACTTTACAAAATACTGATACCTGTGTCCAACACCCAGAGATTATGATTTAATTGGTCTTCAGGGTGGCCAGGGAGTTGGAATTTTTTACAGTTTCTCAGATGATTCTGATATGCAGATAAATCTGGGGACTCTAACCTAGAACAGTGCCTGGTACTTAGTAGGAGCCAAGTTAATGTTTACTGACTAAATCCTATTTATTGAGCTCTTACTATGTACCAGTATTTAATACTCAAAATTACCCATTAAGTTAGGTCATTGAAATGAGGAAACAGATTCAGAGAGTGTCAATGACTTGCTCAGTGTTTCACAGCTAATAGAGGAAAAGCTCAGGTTTTAAGCCAGCATTGACTGCAGAGACGTGAGTGGGCACTGGCAGTTGTCCTGAACAGTCGTCCATATGCCTAGGCCAGAGAGAAGATGGTGTGGTAAGAGAACTGCTATATGTTGGCTCTGTCAACCAAGTGGGTCAATTTCACTATCCTCAGTGTTCTCACCTTTGAAATGGTAGAACATGTCATCACAGGGTTGCTATAAGAAATAAAACTTTCAGCTTTTTATCTCATACCAGGCAGTAAGCCTCGCAGCTTTATGAGCATTGTCTCTTTTAAATTGTGCAACAGGCTAAGTATAATAGATGGTACCGTGTTTCCCCGAAAATAAGACAGGGTCTTATATTTATTTTTCCTCAAGAAGACACCTTAGGGCTTATTTTCAGGGGATGTGTTATTTGTTTTTAAGTACGGTACAACAATCTACAGTTATTCAAATATAGTTAAGTCATCTTCTTCTGGACCATCATCATAACTCTCCAGACCCTGAATTCCATCCTGAATTTTTTGCAACTCTATTTCCTTTAGAACCATTGGCTTCAATCTCTCATGTCGAGCAATAGAGCTCTCGTGGGGCAGATGAGAAGGGCTGCTCCTCTTCTTTACTGCTCTGCGACGAAATGCATGGGTTGTGCAGATGCACTGTGTAGCCACGCCCATCAATAGGTCTTATTTTTGGGGTAGGGCTTATATTGCACAAATGCTTAGAAATCCTGGTAGGGCTTATTTTATGGAGGTCTTATTTTCAGGGAAACATGGTATTATTGGCCCCATTTTACTCTGTGATTAATAAATAGTCACTGTTTTCATTAAAGGATAGCAGATGTTGTTAACATGGGTAATAAGTTTTAAGACACTGTTTTGGTGATGATGATTACCAAACCACTTCAGACTGAATGGGTCACCCTGATTTTCTGTCTTAACCGTAAAGAACTTAAGACATGGGAAATTGATGAGGTAAAGAAGAAATCCTGAAAATGAAAATATTTCCTTTAGTTCAATAATTATTATTGAATTATTCAAATGAAATATTATTCAATTATTCATTATTATTATTCAATTATTCAATTATTCAAATGAAACAAGGAGATCTTATGACAAGATGACGTTCAGTGAATACTCTGTGGACAGTAATATAAGAGATGTAGCATTCTGGCTCATGGAAAGATATCTGCCTAAAGAGCCACCGAAATTTTTACTATGTTATTTGGTTGGTTGAAATATTCAGCAGAAACAGACTCACTAGCAGACTTTTTCATGTAAATAAAAATTTTTATTTCTAATGCCAAATTTCCTTCCTTTTATGTAACCCATATTAATTTGAGATAAATTCAGTAGACCATGTGTTCTCCTCTTACAGCCTGGATCATGTATCCCTTGGGGATCCTACCTTCCCAGAAAGGCTGAGAGAAAATATGCCAGGCATTGACCCACTGATGTTTTCAAGTATGAACTTTCCACTGGCCTACCATTGACATTAGCCAAACACAAATGCACAAAACTACTTCTTTGCCATTTTTATTTTAGGTCATGGTTTTAAAACTTTTATCCTCCTAATCTATTAAAACTTACTTCAAAAGAATTCCAGTTAAATCTTTTTTTTTGTTTTGTTTTGAGACAGGTTCTATAGCCTGGGATAGAGTGCAGTAGTGTCATCATAGCTCACTGCACCCTCAAACTCCTGGGCTCAGGCAATCCTCCTGCCTCAGCCTCCTGAGAAGCTAGGATTACAAGCATGCACTTCCACGTCCTGCTAATTTTTCTATTGTTTGTAGACATGGGGGTCTCGCTCTTGCTGAGGCTATTCTCAATTTCCGGGCCTCAAGCAGTCCTCTTTCCTTGGCTTCCCAAAGTGCTAGGATTATAGGCGTGAGCCACTTGCACTTAAATTCCAATTAAATCTTAATGGCACTTGCAACCTATTACAAACAAATACCTAGAGAAAATATGCTAATTAGTCAGTGTCTCAGCTATATATTTACAGTCATGTACCGCATTATGACATTTTGGTCAATAAGGGACCACATGTACAGTGGTGTTTTCTTTGTTTAGATATGTGTAGACACACAACTACTTATCCTTGTGTTACAGGTGCCTACAATATTCAATACAGTCACATGTTGTGCAGATTTGTAGCCTAGGAACACTAAACTCTACCACATGGCCTAACTGTGTAGTAGACTATGCCATCTAAGCTTGTGTAAGTACACTCTATGATCACAGAATGATGAAATCACCTAACAGTACATTTGTCAGAATGTATCCCTGTCATTAAGTGACATGTGACGGTATTGTTGTTTACACTAATGTAAGTGCTATGTGGATCATATCAGTGGTTCATCCAGGGTAATATTCTGTCTCTGACATTGACAGCCAGAGGTTGGTTGAGGGTCTGGTTTTCTTCTACAGTGAGATCATACAACACATAATGGATGACTATAGCAAGATAATGCTGATCTCCCCAAGTTCTACAAGATCTCATTATTTGTTAGTCATCCATGAATCCTCTTAAATCCCTATGTGCCCCTTTATTTTTTTAATCCTATTCTGGCTCATGGGGCAATCACATAGTTCATAAGTCTAAGTCCAAGCACCAAAGTTTCACAGGCTTTTCCACCTCCCATCACCTTTTATTCCATAAAATAGCCTTGTTGGTGCAGAATTTTACTAAAAAAATTAAAAAGAAATTGAGCTTCTTTCATGACTATCTCTTCTACCTGTACCTTAAATATATTTTTTAATTTAAAGTTTTTAATTTTATTTTTGATTGACATATAATAATTGTATATATTTATGGCGTACAATTTGATACTGCTTTATATGTATACATTATAGAATGGTCAAATCAGGGTAATTAACATATCCATCACTTCAAATATTTCTTTGTGGTGAAAGCATTTAAAATCCTCTTTTAGCTATTTCACATATATACTGCATTATTAACTATAGTCACCATGTTATACAATAGATCACTATAACTTATTCCTTCTATCTAACTGAAATATTGTGCCCTTTGAACAACATCTCCCCTTTCCCTGCCTATACTCTTCCCCAGCCTCTGGTAACCACCATTTTATTCTCTACTTCTATGACTTTGACTTTTTTAGATTCCACATATAAGTGAGATCATATGCTATTTCTTATTCTGTGCCTGGCTTATTTCACATAGCATAATGTCTTCTAGGTTCATCTGTATTGTTAAAAATGACAGAATTTCCTGCTTTTTTTTTTAAAAAAAAAGACTGAATGGTATTTCATTGTGTATATACCACATTTTTTAATCCATTTGTCTGTTAATGGGCACTTGAATTGTTTCCATATCTTGCCTATGATGACTAATGCTGCAATAAACATGGGAGTGTGAATGGCTCTTTGACATACTGATTTCACTTCTTTGACTATAAACACATCCTTTGGATGTGAAATGACATCCCATTGTGCTTTTAATTTGCATTTTTCTAATTAGAGATGTTCAGCATTTTTCTTATATCTGTTGACCAGAATCTGTATATCTTTTAAGAAATGTCTATTCTGGTCTTCTGCCCATTTTTAAAGAGGGTTATTTGTTTTCTTACTATTGAGTGGTTTGAGTTCCTCATGTAATTTGGATATTAGTCTCTTATCCAATGTATGATTTGCAAATGTTTTCTCCCAGTCTGTGGATTGTCTCTTCATTCTATTAATCATTTTCTTTGCTGTGGAGGAGATTTTTAGTTTGATGCAATCCCATTTGTCTATTTTTGCTTTTGTTTCCTGTGTGTTGGTTCCCAAAGCTTTTTCTCATCTTGTGGTTTTTGTACTTGATGGTCTTTCTTCCTAGAATATTCTTCCCTTTCTCTTCAATCTTTATAGGGTTAACTGATTATTATTTAGGTCTCAGCTTAAAATGTTATGTCTTCAGAAAGGTTTTCTCTGACCTCCTAATCTAAATTATGTTCCTTGTCTCATTTTTTGATGGCATATAGGGCTTATAATAATTCATATTTGTGTGTTTACTTAATATCCATCTCTGTATAAGGGGTCTTCAAAAAGTTTATGGAAAATGTGTATTATGAAAAAACT